TCATAAGACCGATGGTGCCACGGTCCTGTAGTTCCCAGCCACTCTGAATGCTGAGGTGGGAGGCATTGCTTGAAGCGCAGGAGGTCGAGCTGCAGTCAGACCATGCGTTCATCCGCCACGCACTCCAACAGACTGGCGCAACAGAAGTGACGACACCTGCCTACCAAAGAAAACAAAAAAAAGGCCGGGCGCGTGTGCCTATCACCTGTAATCCCAGCACTCTTCGCGCGAGGCTGACGGCGGGCAGATCACGAAGGTCAGGGAGAATTGACAGACCGCATCCTACCTACACAGGGTGAAAACCCCGTCTCTACTAACAAATACAAAAGAGACCTTAGCTCGCGCGCTACGATGGGCGGGCCTGTAAGTCCCAGCCTACTCTTAGGAGGCTGAGGCAGGAGCTGACGCTGACCCCGGGAAAGGTGGGAGCTTGCAGTGAACGCGAGATCGCTGCCACTCGGCACTGACCAGGCTGGGGGACAGTGCGAGCACTCGCTCATCTCAAAAAAACAAAAAAAAAGAAAAAGAGGCTCTTTTTTACCCTTATCTTAGCAAAAACAAATTATATACTTCACGTGATGAAAATGTTAGGACATCGTAAACCAAAAGTGAGATCACTTCGTGTGTTTCTATATCCAAACGTAACTTTACGCCGGCGAACTTTCTGCTTGTATACGTCTTTTTAAAATATATAATCATCAGCTAGTAAAAAGGTCACATTTATTGATTGCCTACTACATGAGCAGCAACCCCGATGGCAACTTTGCCTATCATGGCAGCTTTTTACTTAATACTCTGTCTTTTCCCCTTTTTTTCTTTTTTTTTTTTTTGAGACGAGTCTGCGGCTCGATGCGCCAGGCCTGGAGTGCAGTGGCCCGGACGTCTTAGCCTCACATGCAAGCTCCGCCTCCGGGGTTGATGCCCATTCTCCTGCCTCAAGCCTCCCGCGCAGTAGTGGGACTGAGACAACAGGCTCACCCCCGCCACCACAACGCCCGAACCCTCCACCCCCACCTCATATAAATTTTTTGTAATTTTTTAGTAGCCAGGAACGGGGTTTCAGCGTGTTGCCCAGCGATGCCTCTCTTGATCTCCTGAGTCGTGATCCGCCCGTCTCCAGCCCGTCCCCCAAAAGTGCTGGGAAGAATTCACAGGCGTACGAGCCACCGTGCCTGGCTAATAACATTATACAAAAATTAGCCCCTTTTTATTAGCATAATTATACTGTCCGCATCCTATTCTATGGCTGTCCTTTCAAAGTGTACTTCTCTGAGCAGTTGCATAGTATTCCTATTGATGAGTTTACCTATAATTTTAAATTTAACTGTTTTATTATTACTGAACATTCAACCGTGTTTTCCAGTTTTGTGACATTTTGTATTTTGTTATGAATACATTTTATACCTAAAGTTTTGCTCCCCAACAGATGGGAAGAACACAATTAGAATTCCATTTTGTAGGATGGTCTCGATCTCCTGACCTTGTGATCCGCCCGTCTCGGCCTCCCAAAGTGCTGGGATTACAGGCTTGAGCCACCGCGCCCAGCCTAAAAATTTTTATTCTTATTTTTTGTAGAGGTAGAGTCCTGCTCTGTTGCCCAGGCTGGTCTCAAACTGCTGACTTTAAGCAGTCCTCTCTCCTTGGCTTCCCAAAATGCTGGGATTATAGGTATGAGCCACTGTGCCTGGCCTTTGTACATAATTTTTTATTATTTTCTGCTTTAACTTGAGGGAGAAGGCGATTAACCTCTTGGGAGAGTTGGGAATGCCACTCATCTTTTGAGAAGTAAGTTATTTTAAAAATCATTTACAGGCTAGACATAGTGGCTCATGCCTGTACCCAGCACTCTGGGAGGCCAAGGCAGGAGGATCACTTGAGCCCAGGAGTTTGAGACCAGCCTAGGCAACATAGTGAGACCTTGTCTCTAAAAAGAATAAACAAAATAGGCTGGGTGTGGTGGCTCACACCTGTAATCCCAGCACTTTGGGAGGCCGAGGTGGGCAGATAATTTGAGGCTAGGAATTCAAGACCAGCCTGGCCAACATAATGAAACCCCGTCTCTACTAAAAATATAAAAATCAGCTGGGTGTGGTGGCGCACGCCTATAATCCCAGCTACTCCGGACACTAAGGCACAAGAATCACTTGAACCCAGGAGGCAGAGGTTGCAGTGAGCCGAGGTCACGCCATTGCATTGCAGCCTGGGTGACTGAGCAACACTCTGTCTCAAAAAATAAACAAACAAAATTAGCTGGATGTGGTAGTGTGTGCCTGTAGTCCCAGCTGCTCAGGAGGCTGGGATGGAAGGATTGCTTGAGCCTAGGAGGTCAAGGCTGCAGTGAGCTGTGATTGTGCCATTGCATTCCAGCCTGGGTTACAGACCGAGACCATGTCTCAAACAAACAAAATTTAACTATGCTCCTTTTCTATTTCTTATTCTCTTTTTATTTGAGCTTACTGAAAGATGATTCATCCATTTATTAATCACCTACTATATTTCAGCTACTCTTCTGGGCACTGAATCAAACTAATAAAACTACCCTTATAGGGCTTACATTTTAGGGGTGTGGGACCAGACATGATTTGCTGATGACTTGGATGTTAGGTATGAGAGAAAATGAGGAGTTGGGATGATTCAAAAAATTTTGGCCTGAGAAGTAGGTAAATTGTGTTCCATTTACTAATTGGAGGAGGAGTAGCTGTATTGGGATGGGGCAGGGGAAATAAAAGTTCTCTTTGGACATGTTCATTTTGAGGTGTACAGTCTAGCCTTGGTGTCCACTGCCTACCAGCAAGCAATTGAATAGATGCCACCTGTGTCAGGACAGAACCTGAAGTATGTTGCTTACCAGTAAAGGATCCACTACTAAATTAGCCGTCCTTTTATAACAAGGAAGCAAAATAAAGAAGAAAAGTCTTAGAAAATGTTAGAGTTGATGGATATATCCCTATAGTTCTTCCCAAATTTATTAATTATGGTTTAATTGGCATAGAATAAAGTAAAATGAAAAGTTGGATAATTAAAGTCCCTACTTTTTTCTTAATAACTTATGTGGGAATTATTGTTGCTGGGAATATGTCTGGAATTGCATATCTTGGTCCCACATTTCTGGAGCATTTGCAGCTGGTTGTTTTTTAATAAAAGAGTACAGCTTTGTATGTGTATAAAAGATTTGTTATTCTGATAATGGTTTATGCATGAAGTTATTGCTGATACTGAAATTACAAAAGTGAGGCTAGATGTGGTGGCTCATGCCTGTGATCCTAGCACTTTGAGAGGCCGAGGCAGAAGGATAGCTTGAGCCCAGGAGTTCAAGACCAGCCTGGGCAACATAGGGGGACCCCATCTCTCCAAAAAAAAAAAAAAAAAAGGAAAGAAAAGAAACAACAAAAAACACAAAATGGAAGAAAAGAGAGCAACTGACATGCAGAGTGGTCCCACATTTTTAGAATGGGCCTTCTTCCTTCCATGTTCCAGTCCAAGGCTTCTCAGACCACCCTTTGTGTTTAAGACCCTAAAAGCACATCCAAATCCTTTACCCTGAGTTCTCCATTGGAAGCCTGCCAGATTTTCATGGTCCCATCAGTACTAAGAACACACCAAGACCTCCTCCACTGGAAATGTCCAAGTATGTTATCTGTTCAAAGAGAAAACAATGTGTTAGAAATAATGAAATACTCGTATTCCCTTGAAATATGTTATAAACTTCCCTTGTTTCACTCTCCAAGACTTTCTGAAGCCTATGTTGCCCAAAAAAAAGTCTGCTGTTTGATGTAAAGGTTGAGTTATCATCACCAACCTCCCAAACAAGGCTGAAGTAACACCTTTTATTTCTCAAACAAAAAGATATTCCTGCTATTCATCTCAATCCTTCAGCCTAAAAAGTTTTCCCTATCCCATTTCATTTCCACTAGCTTCCAGTGTGTTGCATTATTTATTTGTTTGCTTTGACAGAGTTTCA